AAAGTTTCAACCTTCTGCCTTTTTTAGTTGCCGAGTTAGTAATTTTTCCGCAGAAACCTTCTTAAGCCCTTACCTAATTACCACGCATAGCTTGGGGCTGAATTTGAAATATTTGAGTTGTACTTGGACAGGGAATATTCTCCCAAAATTTCAGCCTTCCAGCTTTTCTGGATGCCGAGTTGGCAATTTTCCCCTAGAACTTTCAAACGCCCTTGCGTGAGTACTATGCGTACCTGGAAGCTGAATTTGAAGCTTTTAAATTGCACGTGGACAGGGAACATCACCGAAAAGTTTCAGCCTTCCAGCTCTTCTGGTTGCCGAGTTAGTAATTCTCCTGCAGAAACTTTCATGCGCCACGTGAGTGGCATAACTGGGGGCTGAATTTGAAATATTTGAATTGTACTTCGATAGGGAACATTCCTGCAAAATTACAGCTTTCTGGCTTTCCTGGTACCCGAGTTAGCAATTTCCGCCTTAAAAATTTCATACGCCCTTACATGAGTATCGCGCATGGCTTGGGGCTGAATTTGAAATATTTGAGCTGTACTTTGATAGGGAACATTCCCCCAAAATTCAGCTTTCTAGCTTTCCTGATACCCGAGTTAGCAATTTACCCCCTAAAACTTTCAAACGCCCTTGCGTGCGTACCACGCATATCTGGAAACTGAATTTGGAATCTTTAGCTAGTACATGCACAGGGAATACCCCTACAAAGTTTCAGCCCCTTAGCTTGTGTGGTTCCCGAGATCGCTTTCCCGCCAAAAAATTCGCATATTTTTTTAAAGCGTCCGTACACGGCACCCAGGCGTCCACGGGAGATGAAATTAAAAAGGGAGGAGCGCATGGTATGGGCACATATCCCCAAAGTTTCAGCCTTCTGGCTTTTCTGGGTCTCGAGTTGAAACTGGGTGACAAAAAGTGCGAACACACAGCGCATGGTATAGGCACATATCCCCAAAGTTTCAGCCTTCTAGCTTTTCTGGGTCTCGAGTTGAAAGAGGGTGACAAAAAGTGCGAACACACAGACAGATAGACAG